GTCATATTTGCGTAAAGCATGCATATTCTTTTAGAACTGCCAGAAATGTACTACGAAAGGTATTCGAGAAGTTTCCTAGAAAGACACTCGACTACCGGATAACTAAACAAATGGATTAAGAAGAAAAAACACTATGGATCGGTGGAGTGCAATTCGGCAGTTTATGATTATCGTAATCTGCAAATAAGCCGATATTATGGGAAAGCATTTGTATGAAATGTTAAAATAGGAAGACAAAGCGACACACCCTCGATGGTTTGGCCCGCATCGTTGGATAGGCTACGGTGCGTCTGCTTGTTGTCGTGCACGTTCTTTAACTCCTGAAACGGGAACAAAACAGTAAATATAGACGAATTCACGTCTTTGGCACCAATTGCAGACCTCGGCGACCAGAATATCTCCCTGGCAGCACTTTACAACCATCGTTAAGTTAACGCTGAGGATCGGTATGCGACAACTGTCACAGCGAATTGTCATACATCTTATTTCTCTGGACTTTCGCTAATATTATTACAGTAATCTTTTCGACCACTCGTAAACCTAACTTTTGACAAGTGATCTGTTTTTTGTAGTTCTCCACTTCGTACATGGATAAGTGATGTTATGCCGTTCTCGCTCGTTCGGAAGACTAAAGGCGAGAGTCCGTGCGTTCTGGATGACCACTAATTAAATAGCAACAGACCTTTCTGCAATTCGCAGTGAACGACAACACTCATTTAGAATAGAAAACCTGGGAAACTCTTAGTACTACTATCTCGGGATTCCAGCGAAAATGGCTCTCAGTGGGAAAATTCGGCACATCAGCGACCGCCGAAAACAATAGATTATTAAGCAACAGCTGAACTCACTAATGAATCCGACCTCACATACAGATGAATGTTGACGGACTCAACCTCCTATACAGAAGACGGTTGCAAGAATACAAAACGAATATTTGAATATCATGGAGCGTTAAATCAGCCAAACAAGTTCTTCAAAAGTCTTTTTATGGAGAGAGAATTTTAAAGCACCAATAAATGAGTAAATAAAAGAATATAAAAAAATAAAAGGATAAAGCTCCTTGCGTTAACCAATCCTTGAGGGATACGCCGTGTATTCGACTTCATTAAGCATCGTTTGAAGGTGACTGAATGTATATCTGACGTTTACAATGACTCGCAGTGGCCTACCGATGCATAGAGTCTGTGCTGCTGTCCTCCCGGAGCAGTCTGGTTGCAATTTGCCGACCCCGGAGGGATGGAAGACTTGGTGGGCAATAATCGCGGGGATCGATTCCACGTGTGTGTTGCACGGCGTCTCCGATCACTGTGCCACACGCGCCCAATATAAATGTAATGTGAATAAATGGGTAGCAAAGGAAAATCCAGTTTTTCCTTCAATAAACCTTTTACAGATAAAGCATAACTATTCACTATACAAAAATACAGCTCCAAACCCAAACCTACGTCGAATAGGCACAAATATTTATGCTTCAGCTGCTCATTTATTCGCTCAACAATGAATTCACATACTTTATATATGCTATTCAAGCGATTTTTCAAACTGACGAATATTGTGAAAGATCCGTCTCATTAGCCTACCTCCAGTAGCATCTTTTCTTGCGTACGCCGTCGTATTTGATCTGAATCTATGTCGCGTTTGCTCCTGACTTTTCTTAGCTTGTGCGTAAGCCAGTCATCCGGATCTTTGGCTTGTGACACCGCGTCATATTGCTCGCAAAACAGACGGCGATCACTGAAATCTTGAGGAAAAAAGTTTGCCGATAACGTGCTCCACTCAGACATTCACAACCGATGGACGGTACGTTTGCATTCCAAGTAAAAACAAGTGTAAATCTCTTCAGCGCTGAACAAAAGCACTAGTAGCTTAACAGGATGGAAGTAATCAGTAATGGATAGAGGTTTTTCTAAAGCTGAGGAAAGCTTTTTCTCCACAACTTTGTTAAACACGGCGGCAAAAAACAAATGAAGCTTCTATCTAATTTGCGTGTCACATCTTTGAGGGTAAAAATAAGATCTGTAAGGTAAGTAAACTTCGCTGATTTTGCTAGATGTCTCATAAAGAGACAAACGAGCTCTGAAGACTCAAGCATGCTTTCATTTTTTATCGCCAATAATTCAACTCGAGGTTGTTATTAGAGCATTTGTTCATTTACAATAACTGATGCTTTGGTGGCTTTGGTTTCTTCAGGACCTGGAAGAGACAAACTGCCAAACAATTTACTCAGTCAAACATATTTATAAGCTTGTTGTAACAGATAACAGATTATGGAAGTATTTGGATGAGTAGATTGTGTGCCAGTTTGACCCTCCCAGGCTCTGTAGAAGGCGAAACCACAAAAACATCACGTATTGTGAATGAAAAGATACTGCAATAAAAGACTCGTGTTTGTTCATTTTAAAAAAGTGAGCCAAGAATCAATCTACATAAGGTCAGGCCGTCCGAGGAGCAGTATCCATCTGCGGCAGCATGTACGTGACTGGCGACCTCACCGCATTGCGCTATGCGCCTTTTAAAGTTAATTTTAATAAATCGAAACAATAGAAAGTAGTCATAACTAGAAATTCAGAATAATTCGCTCTTATTTGATAATTTCTGTTCTATAATTTAACAGTTCCTATGAAACTATACGACTTCTGAAAGTCGATTGTGATTTTTGTTCGCCAACCAGCACAAACAAACTAAAACAAAAAATAAGAAAGAGAGAGAAAGTGTTGGATTTATAAAAAGATCAATTTGAATTATTTCCTTTTATATTTGAATATGTTTATTAGATATTCCTCCCAACGGTTTACCGCCTTATCGTGACTGGAAGGTGTTCCTGGGTGTCGGACTGCGATGTACAGCGGGGGATTCATCCCCTCAAGAGGATCTCCCAAACTGAGAGGGAGTCTGGCGTTTCCATTAGGAAGCCTAGCTAAGAGTAAACCAATACCAGGATCTACCACCGTCCTGGTATCAAAGTCGCGTGGTGGTAAATCTCCCTCTGATCCACAAGAGCTGCGACTGCCTGTCGTGGTGACCACCTGGAGCACACTTTGGCCAGACTGTCCTCGGGACTCCAGGGAACCACAATGGCTTAACCAGCAAATCTCCGAAGAATGGAGATTATGCTGGGGCCCGCACAACCAGTGAGGATGGGATTATTTATAGGCGTATTAGGTATTTAGTACTATTTTTATTCAAGTTTCAATGTAAGAAGATTCTGTCTCTCAGGGGTACTGAGAAACAGGCAAACTCGAATTTCATTGGAATTTTATTGCATTTGGTAGACCAAGATTTAAAAAACCTCATTTTCTTTGGGATAGTGTGAAAATATAACAAATTCAATAAAAATATGAAGACATTTCACTGATGAAAAAAGAGGATTCCATATCATGTCCGAGACATTTCCTGAATTTTTCATCCAGCAATCGCCACTCTTACGGTACTATGTAGGAAAAATTAGTACCCTCCCAACTGTTTAACGCTTCATCGTGGCCAGGAGGTGTTCCTTGGTGTCGGGCTGCGGTGTAGGACCGGGGAATTCATCCACTCAAAAGATCTCCCAAGCTGAGAAGGAGACCGCCGTTTCCACTAGGAAGCTCAGCTAAGAGTGAAAGACTACTAGGATCCACCACCGCCCTGGTATCAAACTAATCGTATGGTGGCAAATTACCCTCTGATCCACAAGGGTGGCGAGGGACCGTGGTAGCGACAACCTTTGAGATAATGATGCTGAGATATTTGCAAAACTCCGGATCCCAGGTGTCTGCGGTGGGGCGAACACGCTATTACTCTTTCCGAGAGGTAATGCGTTCACCGCCACACTATACGGGTCCTCCGTTTCGCCTGTCTCTGTTAGTTCTATCGATCATGCCATCAGCCATCACCACGACCCACCTTCACACGTGCTGTGCAGATCCCGGACACTTCTTGCAATCGATTCGTTTCCTGGCATCTATCATCCACGAAAGTCTTCGAACTATTAGCATGCGGGTTTGCTTGTGCATTTTCGTCTTATTTACGAATGTCGGAGAACGGCGGTCGAGTTGACTCTTCCTAGTGTGCTGGGATAGATGGACTAGAGCGTTCCCATTTGGACTTCTCAGACAGGTCTGGTACCAGTTTCCCGAACGCGGAGGAATGAACAGATTGTGAGTCTGGGGCGGGGCAGAATTTAAGCTTAAACAGCATTAAAATATACAAAACAGATAAGCCAGTAGGTATAGCAAAAAATAAAGAATATACATAAAGGAACAAAAATAAAAAACGTAAAATAACGAAATCACACGAAACTGAATATCAAACGATCACGAATACTGAAAAATCACCGGAAATATGGCGAATCACGGCGCTCTGCGTATGTCCTTGAATGTGGTTGGTTAAGAGTAAAAACATAGAAACGAAAAGCAACAAAAAATGTGTAACATTTCATGAAGAAAAAATATATAATAATAAAACTATGAATATTTAAAAGGAAGAAAAGAATAGAGAATCTCGGATTTCACCAAGCCTCAAGAACCTCATTCATTTCCGCCCACGCAAAAGGCGAAACCCTAAACAACGATGTTGCTGAAATCCTGTTGAGGTGATGTCACTTCATTGACTTGCTATTACGACTAAACCATGAATGAGAAACAAATTTTTATGAAGTAAATAGCTCCAAGGAGATGATGAATGGCTGGTAAAACAACAGCCAGGACCACCAGCTTACCCTTGATCGTCAGATTAAAAGAGCCGTATATTTTCTACACTCACAAGAAAGCACTATGTGCCTCAAATCGCTGGATCATAGCAAGTAATCAATTTTGATCAACGTCATGCATTCTATTCGCGGCATCGTACAGTCGATTACATGAATGTTTGGCCTATATGACATACGGTTGTTTATTGACGTATCGAGTGTTCTTGTCGTAGTAGATAATTTTAGTACTAATTTTCTAACCTCGAAGAGATGTGGGGCTTGGCTTACACAGGGTTCAAAATGGAACCAAAAACCACATTTTCATTGCAAACCTCTAACCACTGCGGTAAGTAGGCCCCAGAAGGAAGATACGACGTCGGTAAATCTCAACCGGAGAAAATAAGCCCTGATATATAGCAACGTAGAACATAATTTGATTTGAGATGTTTAAATAGAGAATATATTCCAAAGATAATACGTTAATAACTATCCAGGCATCTAAGACTTCACATAAATAAGAATCACATAAATAATACCGTGTTGGTCCGGTTAATGCTGCAATACTTTTGCAGTTTCGCAAACGATGTGTCTCACGATCACGAATATCCACCGACGAAACCGGCGATGGTGGAGCTGTCGACGCAAGGATGCCGTCCAGTGGATCGCTGAAACATGAAACAATTTCTCTCCGGTGGAAAACCTTCTCCCTATTGAATAATATGCCTACCCTAGTTCTAGAATAGACTTTAGATTGATCAAATTTGGTCTAAAACCTACATGAACGCTTGGACCGACTGGTAATGCTTCCTTGGAAACTGGACACTTCTGGTGCCCGCATGTGTTTGCTGGGTTTCTGCTGTTTTAGAAGAGCGCTCAGGTCGCTTTGGCTGCGTTTGCGTAATCACGGGCGGTGTGTAGTTGAGGTAGAAATCCGGGTCACAAAGATCATCCATGTCGCTGCTGAAACGGTTCAATCACTAGTGTTGTAACTGATTCACACCAACAAGGATCTCAATACAGTAATTCTTTTAGTATAAGCTTTTTTAAAAGTCGTATGCGGTGTACCAATTTAAAACGTTTTAAGACCAAGTAAAGCATTAAATATCTGGAAACAAAAACAATTAAAAAGTGGAATAATAAACTGGCCAAGGGGGAGATAAAACAAGGGTCTCGGTGGCTCAGTCGACAACACGTAAGTCCTCGAAAAAATGTAATCCCGGGTTTGAATCTGGCCTGGGGTTCTAGTCATAAAACCCCGCTAAGAAAAATATTAAACAGCAGATAACGAAGTTAAACAATATTAAATATCTGATACTGTGGAGAGTTCAAACAAATAACTTTGCTAAAAATCACCTTTACCAAGAGAAATAACAACGATCAAAACATGTCCACTTTTCAACAATAGAAATCCGAATACATGGGTCGTCAAAGGTTTTTTTATTGAGGTAATCAGAGTGCTTTCAGACATTTAAAGAGGTTGACATACGTTTCTGACAGAGGGTGGAGAGGACAGAATTTGATACTCCAAATCATTCAGCTTCTAGAACTCCATTATTAGAAAGTTCGTGGAGTTGTGCTCTTTTCATTCTTTTCTATTAATCAACGACTGCCATCCTTGACCAATAGCTGACTCACTGCTTCAACGTTAGAACTTTTGGTTACCATGGAAACAACTCTTTTGTGTAGCTATGGAGAATGAGGAGTTGATTCGATCTCTCCTTACAACTCTTATCCATCGGCGTCAGCGAATTGGTGCTAAACTTGTTTCGGACAAGCTCACTCCCTCTAAGGCACGCGAGAACGCCCAACCCAAGCCATTTTAGGATTCCAGGAGCAATAGACTTTAACAGAAAGGTCTTCGTGATGAAGAAAAAACCCTTAAGCAGCAGCATAAGCAAAAAAGTTCCAGAACCACCGTCGGTGCTGGATGCGAGAAAACGAATTGCAGAAGGCTTTGGGTCCCGCAAAGTAAGTGTAAAGATGGGCTGTTTGAAAAAACGTTGGAAACAGCACGGAGTATTCCTGCAGCTGTTATTTTGACAACGTTGGTAGGTCCCAGGATCGACTTTCTCTTAACCTCGGCATTGGAGTATGAATGCGTCGTTTTCTTGTTCAGCAATCGCGAGGTTTTTAAACAGCATACATTTACTTCCATAGAAAAACACAATACAATACAACACTAGCTTACGTTTCGGCAGTATCGCCTTCTTCAGGGCCTGGAAGGGCATGCTGGTTGGTAGGTCTCTTCGAAGTAGCATAAAATTCCTATCGTGCCTTGCTGTCATTGTTTTTTTTTTCTGTGCTGCCATCACATTTCTCAGTACTTGGGACCACTTCTTACAGTTTTTTTCTAGGCTACTTAAATTTGTGCATGAATTTACTACTTATTCACATAAGCAAACCGATTCGTATATATTAGATAGAAGCCCACTTAGGCCTTAGTACTTTTCGTATTAATTCGTATTAATTTCGTATTTTCGTTTCAGCTCTACGATCTTGTATTCTTCATTAAATTCCTTGTGTATGGATCGGGTTGATTTTCCCAGCTGAATCCTACGTGTTGGATTCTGAGACCCTCATCACAAACAGTCGAGAACTTAAAGAAGTCTTTCAAAAGCAAGAATAATATAAATTTGCAGGCAACGGTGTGAAAATGGGTTTTGGAAATGGGTTGCCATTAGATACAGTGGGACCAGCGACTATGCGCGTATTGCACGTCATATTTAACCACTAGACCGCCTAAACATTAGTGTAATATAAAATTACTTAATATGAACGAAAACAATCAGATGCGCTGAAAACGAACTTGTGTGTGTCGTTGTTGAGTGTTCGATAGCTTCCATACTTCGTCTCATGTCTTTTCCGCCGATACCCGCCTATCGTTGAGGTCGGTGTTGGTGTGGCACGTTGCGCTTGTTCAACCACCTAAAAAGTAACTCTACGGAAAAAAGTGAACGGGCAAAAAGAACTTTTCATTCTGCTATCCTTTACTTAAGTTTTACATAGAATCCCACTAACGGTGAAGAAATATTTCTTAAACAACATCTTAAGAAAAGCAGCGAGCATTCGGGGCTATTTATTTTCTTATGTTCCTTCTCGGGAGATTTACTGGTGCCAAACCTAAATCTTTAATACAGAAATGTCTCAATGCTGAATAGGCCTAAAGAACACAAAAACTAAATTTAAAAAATATCGTGACAGGGTGCGTGTGGCACAGTAGTCGAAGACGCCCTGCAACACACACGCTGAATCGATCCCCGTGCCCATAGCCCACCAAGTCTTCCATCCCTCCGGGGTAGACAAATTGGTACCAGGCTTGTTTGGGAGGATAGTAGCACTGGATCAATACATCAATATGTCACCGCGAGTCATTGTAAAGGCCAGGTATGCATTCAATCACCTCCAAACAACTCAGGGATTGATCAACGCCGAGAGTTCTTTTTTATCGTGACGCAACTGTCTAATATATAACTTTAGCACATTCGTCTGAATTAGCGGAGTTTGATAAAGCAATACAAACATATTCAAACAGCCAATAAAAAATTCTAGTAAACGCGAAGAATAAAATCAATAAAAAAACAAAGCAAAAAATAAGCTTTATTAACTTTTCACTTACCACTGGTCTTTCTTCAACATCGTCGTTTTTCATGAGGTATGGCTGAGAAAACTGACTTCTTGTTGGCAATCGAGACAACTCGTCCAACAAAGCCTCCTGCAATGAGCAAAAGTTACTAAAAGTTTCAATAGAACTGCATGTAGTCATATGATATGAAAGGTATTTGAATCTTATTTATTCGAACGTATACGTAAGTCCGATACTTTTGTTGAACTGTGAGAAGTGAGCTTCAATATTTAAAAGACTTCAAAGATGCCGCAGCCTATTAAAGTAATAAATAATTACAATGAAGAAAATAATGCACTCGGCTGTAAACAATCCCTAAGGGCTGTGTCATATATTCAACTCCATTCGTAGTATCATAGAGAAGCTTGAGTTCTCATCCGGCCTATCCAATGACTTGTAGTGGGCTACCGATGTTTACAGTCAGTGCTGCTATCCTCCCAGACAGGTCTGGAACCAATTTGCGGATCCCTGATTCATGGAACACTTGATAAACCCAAGGCATGGAACAAGCCAATGACCACGTACGTATTGCAAGAAAACTCGACTCACTGCGCTACAGCATCGCAATAACAGTAGAAAAGGTGTTGAATGAAGTTCTACAAAGAACTGATGGCTTCAGAATATCATATCTCCTATTGAACACATTTGATGGAAAACTCCTCTTGAAAATTCTTCTATAGGTCGAAGGAGATTGAATTCTCATACAGTATTCGACAAAGGTGAGGAGCTCCAGTTTATGACGTGATCTTTCGAAATGGAACCAACACGTATAACAACAAAGAAACTTACATTGCTGTTAAAACCCATATTCTAGCGAACGCTGATAAATTTTTATCCCTTTGGATTCCGTTACACGATAAAATCTATAAGTTCTACGGTGTAAGCGATGCTCATGAAGTAACAAGTTATTCGAGATAAGTTCTTTAATTTTCAAGCCGCCTTACTGGATGAATCCCTAATTTAGAATATTTTGACGAGGATACTGAACCCTAAAAGAAAAGCTATATAATAAACGACTAGCTTCGAACTGAAAACAACTAGGTAACGGGAAGAATGAGAAGCATAAGAACAACCTCTTCGGTGAATGTTACTGCGATAGAACTTAAAAGAAAACAGCTGTTGAAGCAAATAACCCTTCCAACCTCGCACTTGTTCCTATCGACAAACACGAAGGAAGTAGGAAAGATAAAGGACTATTACGACCAACGAGTCGAGAAAGGTAAAGGAAATAAGAACCTCCAGCGAATTTAATGCGCTAAATAGAGACAAATTTACTGGAAAAATCGGAAAGTTGGAAATTGAGTAGCGCTGAGTGGGAAAATATGCTAGAAGAATCACTTGAAAAATTCTTTTCGTTACTAATGCTCCATATACCATCGTAATACTTCGTGTTTTAGCCCTGAGATAAATAAATCTTAACAAGTAGCACCTAATCAATAATCAACGAAGAAAATAAAAGGAGGTTTATAGAATGCTAAACGAATCGATTGACGTTTCACAGCATCTTGTCTCTGTCTAGCGAATCAGCTGTTACTTAAGCAAGGCCAGAAAACAAAGGAATTGCTTATTCTGGGGCGGTTAGAAGAGTCCCACACGTCAGTGTAGCATCTCACATACCATGTACACTTGACTATACCATAAACCAAAAATTAGTAAATTAATCAATTAGAGGACGACATGTATAACTCCATTTTGAATACTGTTGGGATTTTGGGCGGATAATGCCAGGAATCGCTGTAACCTCAAAACAAATCTCAACTTAGCAGGACTTGTTGCCGATTTGGCTCCCTAGATCAGTCCCGTTGACGGGTGATTGCTGACGGCACTGATCGATAGAACTAACTGAGGCGAAAGGGTAATAGCGGGTTCGTTCCTCACCGCAGGCACCGGTGGTCCGGAGTTTTGCAAATATCTCAGCGCCGTTGTGATTGTACAAGCATTTAAAAAATACTTCAGCCTTCGTCAAAACCGCAAATGCGGGATTTTTTCGAGAATATCTGGAACAGATTCGATTATGTGAGAAATGCACGATCATTTCTACATATGTCATGCTAGATCCTAATGTCACAACAACTGACTTATCCCTTGAAAACGAAAGAGTCATTTAAAATAGCTGATGAATAAGATGTTGTGGCCAGTTAAATAAAGAGAATGTGTACGGTCCCATTAGGACATCCGGATCCTCGTTTTATACTAAAATATACGGAAAGATAAAAGCGTGCAATTTAAGGGAGAATTTCACTTGCCAAGAAAATTGTCGCTGCATTGTAGGAAGACCATTTGTTTAAATGATTGTAACAGAGATGAAAAGCTCTCTAACAATCGTAAAATAAAACAAAAGGATAAAGCTCTCGACGTTGAGCAACCCATGAGCGATGCGCCATGCATTCGATTTCATTAAATTTGCCGACCCCGGATGGAGGGAAGGCTAGGCGGGCTATGGGTGCGGAGGTCAATTCCACGTGTTTGTTGCAGGGTGCCTCTGACCACTGCGCCGCACGCACCCTTACAACAACGATATCTTGTCTTTACTCCCTTTTCATACTCTTTAACGACGATATCTCGTTCTTACCCCTTTTCTTAAAATGTTCATCATAATCTCGGCTGCCACAACTGAAAATTCTGACTCATACATCATACGTATTCCGAGTTAAAGTCATTCGAATGCAAGTTAGGTTAAAACGAAAGTATATTTGCTCTTAGAATTTACAAGAAGCAGCAATGAAAATGCATTTGAAATAAGCTGTGGTGGCAAAAAAGGACCTTGAGATTTTTTTATAAAGCGAGAATTTGTTGACAAAATTGCTCATTGTTGCTGACGCTTCGGCGACATCTCTGGAGTTGCGTCGAACTAAGTGGAACCGAATACCCCGTGCAAGACTATCAATCAACTGAGATATTCATAAATCACACCGATGTTAAGTGAACGTTGTCATTCCGAAATAATCACTGGTGACGTTTTCATAAGTAGAGTGCTTCTGACTTCAGGGAAAATCAACTCTATCCATGACATTCAACACATAAAAGTTGGATGAACTTCGTAGATTAGATGATGGTTGCGAGGATACGGCTTGAATGTTAGAAGTGCTGTAATCCGCACAGTAGATGTGAAAGACAGGTTGCATAAAGAAAAAGTAAAGTACTTTAAGAGTTTTGAACTTGATAGCCTCGTGAAGCAGACCTCAATGAACATAATTAGGGACTTCATTAAGCATCGTTAGGAGGTGGCTGAATACATATCTGGCCTTTACAATGGTGGCCTGCCGATGTATCGAGCACAGAGCGTCTCCGACCACTGCGCCACAACACGTACCGCTTCTATCCCACGATCTAACAGTATGTGATGGAAATATGAAGAACAGGGGTGAAAAAATGATGACGCAGAAAGAATTGTTAACAGCTTTATTAGGCCTAAGCAAGAAGCCACTAATCTCTATTCACGATTTGTGTGGATGAAAGAAACCGTGCTGAGCATACTGGTACTTTCTTTTCAGATAGACCTCATTTATTTTCCTACCTGTTTTGCCTTCTCAATTTCTTCGTCCCACGTTGGCTGAACTGGCGTTCGAATTGTTTCCGAAGGAGGAATGTAAGCCTGAATAAAATTCCAGTGATGCCTTTAAGACCTAAGCTTTTAATAAGCAATGGGGTTTGAACAACTTTTTAACTGATAGCTCAATTGAATTTTCCTTGGAAAATGAGACAAAAAAAGCATCTACCCCTATTTCACAAGCAACAGAAATAAGACTACATGCTACGTTATTTTTTGTTGGTGTGTTTTGCCAAAGTTCCGGTTGCCCAGAAGAGCGGCTTTTTGGTTATCACGGAACAGAAACATAGTAGGAATCAATGAGTTGAAACTTCAGTTAGAAAAAGACTCAGAGAAACTGTCAGCATTCCTTAGAAATAACAATCAAACGGCCACTGAATATCAACACGAACTTCCTACGAATGATTGACTAGTCTAACAATAGCCACGACGCCACATCCATCCCATCGTCGCAAACGTTTTCATTCAAATCGTCAACGATTAAAAACTATACAGAAAAATCCAAGAGAAAGTACAAAGTATACGAATTGATTGGCACCGAAACATGGGCTAATACTGCGTCATTTGGAGCATAGTCAATTTCTAACAGAAGGAAGAGAAACTAGTTTCTCTCAGTACACAAATAACGCTTCTAAAACAACGAGTCGACCACCTAGATTTTGGAAGAAAGTCAGAAATCGTCTAAACGTCTACTGTGACAACTTATAACGATCTACCGTAATCTAATGTCTGAAGATGTGAAACAAAATTATAGAATCTTTCCAGAATTTTGGAAGTCGTGAGACCACTATCTTTAATTTTCTTCCTACCAGCTACCTTGGGCGCAATGGGCGCGTATGGCGCAATGGTGGGAAGCCCCTGCAACATGCACGTGGAGTCCATCCCGGCGCCATGACCCACCAAGTCTTCCATCTCTACGGAGTCGGCAAATTGATACCAGACTTGTCTGGGAGGATAGCAGCACTGGCTTGACACATCGGTAAGCCACCGCGAGTCATTGTAAAAGCCAGATATGCATTCAGTTGCCTCTAAACGATGCTTGAGGAAGTCAAATGCATGGCGCGTCCCTCAGAGATTAATCAACGCTGAGAGTTTTATCAATTTCCTATTCTTTATCTACTGCCTTAGTTAGTGCATAATTAAAACAAACAATGATAAGTTCCTACGACTGGGATCTAAAGATCTCATTCCACATAATTAAAGAGAAGGGCAAAAAAACTTGTGGGATTGGATCCTTCACTGGAACACCTAGTCTTTGTTGTTTTTGAAATGAACGACATTCATTCACGAACTTAGCAAAACCAAGTTTTAGAAAAGGATTCCACTTTTAAGATAGAATTTACTTATTGAGAAACACCGCACTCACATTGCTAACTTCTTTCGGGTCGATGTTCTGAATCTCGTCCTCCTTCCGTTCGATTTTTGTCACCGTTGGTTTTTTCGGTCGCTCAAATGCCTCGTTAAGGGCTTTAGTCGGCGCGTAGGAAAAACACTTAGATGCTTTGTCGTACCTTAAGAATTGGCATATAATGAAATATTTCATTGAGAAAAGTAACCCACGAAATTAAATGTGTACAAAGCGAACAAGGAAAAATGCATCATTGAAGATAAAGAATGATAAAAGCAGAGAAAAATCAGCCAAATCAAAGAGACAAAAAGATTTTTAAAAAACTCCATAACTTTCTACCTACTGCCAAGTATTTTTCAGGGCAAAACTTGGACTTTAGGCCAGATTCGAGCCCGCTTTTATGAAGTCAGTCCCGTTGAGGGGTGATTGCTCACGGCACCGTTGAGGTAAAAAGAAAAACTGTTGAAAAAATGCGGAACGAGGGCTTCAGTGGTGCTGTGGGTAACACGTGAGTCCCCAGAGAGCGTAATCGTGGGTTTGAATCCAGACTGAGGTCTAGGTTTTGCAAATGCCTCAGCATTACAGCGGATGAAAAACAATTTAAGTGAATAAAATTAAAAACAAAACGATATCGCAATTACCGCACTCAGACAACTAATTAGAAGGTCTTCATGGAAGGCAACAAAAATTCTGCCAAAATCATAACGTTAACCATTAAAATACAACTACAAACCGATCCTTCCCGACCAGATCCGGTTCTATGCTCGGTGTCGCTCGGCCGGCTTCACGTGGACTTGGCGGACGCTGGACTAGTGGGCGTACTTGTGCAGGAAGTACACCTCGTCTGCAATATTTCACATTCTTAACTTGATGTTGTCACGAAAAATCCATCTGTAAATCGCAACGACTAATAATAAAGATGTGATCACAATAACACGTTCTTTATTCGGTAGGAATATCAATTTTGTCGGCAGACTTACCTCTCAGGCAATTCCGGCGCTACCGGATCGGCCATCGCCGATGAGGAGCGAGGTTTAGGTGGCACTGGCGGTGGAGGCATTTCCGCTTCGTCCTGGAAAAATTGTGAAAAGCATCGATCGTCCTGCTACCGCGTGACGGGCACCATTTCTCTAATGGTGGCGTTTCGCGAAAGGAAATTGCAAAGTCTTCCATAAACATCCGTGACAAGTAAAAAACTATGTGGCTAACCATCAACAGCTTCGATCATTACATTTTATCAACACGGTTAACAGCACTCAAAGGATTATTATGCAAGGGCTTTTCTGTGGAAAATAACTGATACGGAATGATTTCACTTCTATAACGTTGCGTTTTTCTCTCCTCATCAACATTTGCCGATAGAGTTAGCTGAGAGACAGGCGAAACAATGGACCCGCATGGTGTGGTGGTGGACGCGTTAATGCCCAGGAGGGATTATAACGCGTTCGTTCTCCACCGCGAACACCTGTGGTCCGGAGTTTTGCAAGCATCTCAGCAATATTGTGATTGTATTTCGCTTAATACACTGCCGTAAAAATTGTAGTAGACGAAAAATAAAAGGTAAATATTTCCTGTAATATCAGCCGTTTTTCTACGCTTAAGCATATTCAGGACATAAAGGATTTCATCGCTACTCAATACAATACCATTTAAACGACTATTCTCCGAGACCCTTTCGTGCTTTCTTCTGTGTTCTAATCAATGAAAATCCCATGAAAACCCTTATCACACGATAAATTCGATAAATTTAAGCTTACATACCGAAATATTCTGGGGTCTCTTAAGATGTCGTAATCACTTTTTTCTCACGAAAACTGTCTAAAAGCTAATATTGTTTGTATTGACGCTGCTCGTTATAGTTTCATGCATTTTTAAAGAAGTCTCGCACCGTTGTGTCTGTGATGGCCTCGTCAAGCTTCTCGGTTGCTTCTTCGTTTTTGCAGAAACTCTTGGATTCACCAGCCGGCTTTTTTCGTATTTCACTGTAAACTACAGAGCCGTTCGCTTCGTCTGAAAGATGCTGAATTCGTTCTTATATCGCAGCTGTTAAAGAATAAGATGACCTCGAAGCGTTTAGTAAAACGATAATAAAACAGAACATGGGTGTAACTTTGAAGTAATTAAAATGTTAATCATAACGATGCTGAGATATTTGCAAAATTACGGACCGCAGGTGTTTGCGGTGGGGAGCGAACGCGCTATTACTCTCTATCCGGGGGATAGAGCGTTCACCACCACACCATGTGGGTTCTTCGTTTCACCTGTCCCTCAGCTAGTTAAAAATTTTAATAATATTGTATCTTTACTATCCTGACTGTATAACACAAGAAGGTAAACAAATCGACAGGAATCAAAAGCACTGCTATGCAATATTACAGTAAACTATTTAAAATCTAGTTCAACAAAATGTTTTGGAGAAATACGACAATTTTCGCCTCCAATAGTTTACCCCCACACATGGTTGGGAGGTGTTTATGGGTTTCAACCTGGGACAGTATGCATTCATTCGCAAATGAGTTTTCAGAAGAAAGATTTAGATCATCTTTCCATTCGAAAGCCCACCTAGGAATAAACCACTGCCAGAAATCATTGCCGTCCGGAAAATATCAGCTTGCCAATGATCGTGACCTGCGAAAGCCCTAACAAAGTCATAGGAATGCCTTATCCCAGAAAAGAAAGACTCATTCAACCAACGAATTACCAGTTAAAAATAAACTGCGCTGTAATCTGCACGATTCTTTGTGATTTGTAGAAATGTAACAGCTTGAAGAATTTAATAGATATGATCGCAAAGGAAACGTTAAGCACAAAATCTTGGATAGTGTAAGCATAAAATCAACTCAGCTTACCAATGCCAGTGTAACTTATTCGAATATTCTCAAAAAAAAACTCTAATAGATTACGGTACCGATTAAAAAATTATAAATGGACTGAATAAACAAAGCAAGCGGATGAATGAAAAAGTGATGAAATAGACAAAGTGAGCGGATGAATGAGGAAATGATGAACTTTGCAAAACTTATGACTCTAATCACTCAGATAGAACGCTGATGGCTAGTGAACATAAAATTTGACACCACAAATTAAACATATTATCCTGTAAAAATACTCTTGTGTTGCCTTATATGGAATACATTGTACAGTCAGATAAATATCAGACAAAATCGTGTCTTATCGAACGATTTCAGTTTTCTCAAGTACGGTAGCTCCATCGCTGTAGTGAGAAAAATATCGGCTTGAGGGAGGTTGGCTGATCACCTCAGCAAATTAGAAATTTGTCAAATGTCCAATTATATAGGCTGAATGCAACGTTGATAGAACACTGTAGAATCACCCGGCTTTTTGTAATTCAACGAAGAAAAATATTGGCGTCTCGAGAATCAGGTGACATCCACTTACTCATCACACGACTTCTTCACCATCATGTAGACAGACACAATATTTTCTTTATCTGCTGATTTGTTCCCCGATACATAGCATTCTTCCGAAGCCTGTCGATCCTTTTCTGTGACAGTCATGGTGCTGGGAACGACGAAAGTCTGCGGAGTCATCGTCGTCATCTTCAACACCTGTTGTTTGTGTCATAAAACACCTGACAGAGTCAGGAAACCCTCTAGCAAGATCAAACCTAATGAAAACCCATATTTAATATTTGTTGACGTTTCACGGATAAGGTTAAATTCGTGCAGATATTCTCATGAATGTAAAGAAACGAGTGGTGCGTTAGATCTTGTTGAAATCAAGATATGAGAAAAGCTCGGTCTCTTCCTAGGCTTGGCTTCAGGAAGCTTTAGCATAGTCTTACATTTGTTATAATCATGCAACCTCCAATTTTCAGCCTAAACATGGCTGAGTTTTACCTTTGGTTTAGACAAAGTTTCTCTGTTCCTAATATCTTGCTTGTATTTATTCCAAACGCTCATAAATCTAGAAGAGTACAAATAGCCAATAAAGAACAACAACGAGTGTAAGTTAATTCACCATAGACATCGTATTACATCTATAGATATGGAGGCGGATAGCACAGTTGCAATGATGTCTGTCATCAAGAGCATGGTTCTAGTTCGATTTCGCACCGGGCCAATCATGCCCGTCGTTCCTCCGGGGTCGGAAAATTGGTACCAGACTTGTCTGGGAAAAAATCACACTCTGCAATCCAATTGGGAACGCTCCAGTCCGGATATCTCAGAACTCTAGGGAGAAATGCTCGACGAGCATTCTACGACATTCAAGATGAAATGAAAAACCTCAAGCAGCAACCGAACGCACACGTAAAGTTGGAAGGTCTTCGTGAACAATGGATGCGAGGGAACGAATCGAATGGGATAAGTGCTGGGATCCACACAGTAGACGTAAAGATGGGTAAAATAAAATAAAATAATTAAAGATGTATATGCAGATGCACGTGAACTTTAACGTAGTAGTTAAGCTGAGCAACTGAATTACAAAAGTTTTCTGTTAACAAACAGTCAAACGATGAATGGCCAGGATTTGCTGGAGAGGTTTGTTTGTGTTCTTAACGAAGAAAAAGTAGAGAGAAAACTAAACAAAATCCATTGGACGTTCCTTTTCCGCATAGAAACCTGATCCCAGCTAAGGATACTTCAAGTCAAAGTATGGGACTCAACCTTTCCATCGAATAGGTCACCTAAGAGTAAACGGCAGTCAGTAAACATAATCATGATGATAGACCTCCAAGCTTCATAGCCACCAATCTCTCAATAAAGTGAGTATTCTTCAAGTGGTGACAACCAGAGAAAGTCCTAGTATGTCTTGTGATACTTCAGGAAAGCAAAATTTTACCCAATCTTCCAATCTAGCGATCAATTTCGGGGCCAGCCATTTTGACCGTAGAGACACGCAATCCATTCATTCAAAAATCTAAGCACTTTTTTAAACGACCAAATTAAAAACTTTAAAACATTGACAACAATGTGTGGATGTTTGAAGTTTCACTTGAGTTCATTTGCATAATGTTTATGTTGTAAATTCACGTAGTTAGAAGGCTTGTGTGAGCCACATACAGCTCACTTTTTGTCGACAGTTTCACTAACGTTTGGAGAATTCCATAGTGGAGAGACTTTTCAAGGTGGGAAATACAAACGAATGCGATGATATCAGTGTGGTAGCAATCAACATGGAAGAAATCCAGGCCGGTAAAAAAAAACGTTGGCGGTGAAAAAATGAAACCACGGTGTTGAACCAATCAAATCCGAGAGAATGACTGGCCAAATTCCACCGATGCATCACGTCAGTGCTTCGTAACCTACTGAATAAGTATGGTATTAATTTACTGACTCCGAAAAGTTCGAAGGGTTGGTTAACCTGGGAGCAGGATTGATGCAAAGACAACGAGTGTATCGCATCGCTAATCATTGCGCCATAATCAAACATCTCTACGATGCTTGGCACATTCCTGAGGAACTTGTCGACGTCGAACACTTCAACCTCGATCTTTTAACATTTATTCTGACTTGTCGAAATAAAAAATATGAAAAGATCTTTTGTGTAACGGTTGTGGCGGAAAACAACAGCTGCTATAAACAACGCCCACCAAACACTGAATTGAATGCCATCAATGAACATCCAGCCCAACGACGATTTCAAAAAATTTCGTGATAGCGACGATGGTCGCGTAGTTCAGAGATTAGTGATAAGTAGGTTAGGGATAAGTAACTAGTGCTGTAATGCCGAAGCACAGCGTCGCAAAACAATTTGAGCTCAAATCAGTTGCAGAAAAACCTCCAACAGTTGTTGCATTCGATTGCATGCACTAAATTAGTTGTTCGAAAAACCCCAACAGGCGTGTTGATGCTGTTTTTCAATGAACACCAAACTTTTTCCAGGTAAGATGCTGTACATCCAAGCGGTAGCTCAAAAAACGCTCAAGAAATTTGCCCGTATAGGAACTGTTTCAATCTAAACGGTGAAGTGTTTCACGTTGACCAAGAAGAGATGCTGCTATTTCTTATATCCAAACTAATAAAGTTCACTAAGAATCCTTCTCAGCCCTCTGTACCAACATCGATCGGTCGAGCGATTCTAGGAACCACTGCAACCAGT